CGGGCGCCGGGTGTCCCTGGGGGGCTGGGGGTCGCTGGTCAACCCCACCGGGGTGGCGGCCTGCCGGAGGTCGGGGCGCCTGGCGGTGGCACACGACGGCAAGAAGAGGATCCACATCTTTGGGCCGAGCGGATCCTGCCTGCAGCGGTTTGGGGAGCGGGGGGACGCGGGCAACGATATCAAGTACCCGCTTGATGTGACAGTCACGTCGGACGGGCACGTGGTGGTCACCGATGGCGGGGACAGCTCTGTGAAGGCCTTTGATTTTGAGGGAAGGGGGGTCCTGGCTGTCCGGGAAGGTTTCTGTTTGCCCTGGGGCTTGGATGCCACCCCCGAGAGTGAAGTAATCCTGACCGACTCGGAGGCAGGCGCTCTCTACCGCTTGACGGCCGACTTCAAGAAGGGGAAATTAAAGAAGTGTCAGATGATCCGGTCTCAGCTCATCAGCCCGAGAGGGGTTGCAGTCTCCCAGACCTCGGGTACTATCGTGGTAATAGAGCACCTGAAAGCTCAGGGACCGAACAATGGCAGCACCCGAGTGAAGATATTCAGTGCAGAGATGGATCTCATCGGCCAGATGGATAGCTTCGGCCTGAACCTCCTTTTCCCCTCCAAAGTACATACTACGGCTGTGGCCTTTGACAAAGAGGGCCGCGTTATAGTAACGGATGTCTGTAACCAGGCCGTAATATGCTTAGGGAAACCTGAGGAGTTTCCCATCTTTAACCCTCTAATCAGCCATGGGCTTTCTTATCCCGTAGGACTGACTTACATGGCAAACAATTCCCTCGTCGTTTTAGACAGCGGTGATCATTCAGTAAAAATATATAGCTCCACCTGAATGGGTTTAGATGCTTACTGCTAAAGGTTCAAGCTGCTTTTGGCCATAAAGCAAGCAAAGTTCTGGTGTTAGTAGGCGTGTAGGGAGGAGGCGTTTTCTGGGCTTTAAGTGAAAGTATGACCAACATGCTGTGCTTCCTGCAAAACTTACATCGAATCTCTTGCCTATCCGTGGGAGAAGACCTGGCTGTTGCAGGCCGTAGTCGACAATGAATCAACCAAACAAATAATTTGGCATTTTAAAACTATTCCATACCTTGACAACCAAACATTTTTGGTACTTTTTGACAAGTAATAACAACAACATTTGGAATGGAGTAATCAAAGACGGGCACCTGGGAGAGAAAGTGATGCATCGTTTGTTTATGTTTCCCAGCACGTAGTTTTCATTATCCTTCGTTAAGCATAGCTACACTTAGGAAAGCAACAGAGTGGTTTCTGTTTCCAGGATTTCTGCACGAGAAAGGAGACTGGCTTGACAAAATGATAGGAGAAATGGAAGCTTCAGTTCGGATCCAGCTAAGATCATTGTGATGCAGAAGCTACCACTGATTAGTGAGTTATGTGAAGTGAATTGGTGCTCAAAGCCTATTTTTTCCACAGTGGGGAAACGCACTTCTGGGATCACTCTTCTCTGCACTAGTTTATTGCCACCTTTATTAGTTGTACTGGAGCACTTGGTCTTCCTGTATAATGCACAAGTCTGTGTCTTTACCTAGAGATAATTCGGTGTGTGGTTACCAGCATGAGCAGCTTTCCCTGAAAGCCCCTTGAAGTATTTGTGGTCTAAACTCAAATACTTATGCATATATAAAATTGAGTTGGCTGTGCTGCTAACACAGCTACGCTTGGGAGGTTTCCGATACTGCCTGCCTCTGTCTTGTCATGAATATGGTACTTTTGCGCCCCGAACGCCAAGATTCAACTGAAAATTGAAATGTTGGTGAGAAGTAATAGAGAATGGGGGACCTAAGCCTCATTTTTTTCCTAGCTTCCAAATGAGGTTTTGTTGGTTGTGAATACACAGCAGTTTTACTCCAGTTTATATTTCCTTGAAAACAGTTTCACTGTGGACATGAGTTCTGTTGCCTTATTGTCAGTGGAAATTAAGGTATACCTGAATTGTTTTGGGAAGGATTTAACACCCCCACTAGAAGTCACTGCTGCATTTTTAGGCACTTACCTGCTGCTAAAATAATTACTTAGGCGGTTCAGCATTAAAAGCAAGATAAAAATGTAAATGCTATCTGAGATAGAGACAAGTAGGTTAAAACGGCACAAAACTTTTGGGGTCATTTATTTAGTCACTGAAATCATTAATATTAACTAACATAATTTGAAATTCACAGGTGATCTTTCTATCGGTAAATTTTTAATCTGGCTTTTGGTCTGATTTTAGGGCATCTAATAACTGCATGTATTGCTGCACCGGTGATTTACCAAATACTGACTTTAAACTGGAGTGGTTTTAGCCCTCTAATTCAGACAATGTATTAATCTGTCTTATGTTAACATTTATATAAACAAAACAAATTACTAAATGCAGCTATTTGTAAAGGTTAATTGAACAGTGACCTGCCAATAAAGTGTGATTTGCTTACTCCTATATTGAATAATTTAGTGAAAACTCCTCACATCTTTTTATCATGGGCTTCTCTCTTACAATCCAATTTCTCTATTGCAGTTGCCCTGTAGATGTTTTCTTTTTTTTCCCTATTGTCTTGCATATCACAAGTTCAGCCTTGCAGTTCTACGAAATGTTTTGTATTTATATCTTATTGTACAGTATGTTCCTATGCATCTATTTTTCTATCATGTTTTTC